TTCCTGGATGATACATTTGACATCCTCCCACAACTCATCTGGTCTTCGCTCATTAGTGTTCAAGGCCTCAAACCTGTTCCTGAGATGATTTTGAAATTCAGGTGGGATGAACTCAAAGTCATATTTTGGCTCCTGTGGATTTGGTTTAATTTTCCTCAGCTTCAGCTTGAACTTGCATACAAGTAGTTGGTACTTAGAGGAACTCATGGCTGAGTGCGCACATGACCTGTAGTCCTCATAGCTATTAGTGAGAAGAGTAACATGTTGATTTAACATGTTGTTGTGGTTAAGTGCCATCAAGTTGTAGACGACTCATAGTGACCCTATAAATGAAAGACCTGAACACTTGTATAACTTTCATCTTTTCTCCAAATTCGTAGAGTTCCAGAGGCAAGCTATTTCAGTGGATGCCACTCCTGCTTCCAGGCTTGTTTTAATCTGGGAGCTCCACCATGGGCAACCATTATAGCATTTGACACATCAGTGTCTCAGTGTTTAGCATCACAGCAACCATGAGTTACCTCTGTACAGCAAATGAACAGATCAGTGCTATACCACTTAGAAGAATATTTTACCAAAATCCCAAATGCCTTTTTAAATAGGAGGCCAAATAAAATCAGCTCACACCCAATGGCTCACCAGAACCAGAAAACAGTAGAATCCAGCACCTCCAGAAAATTTCACAACCTGGATTCCAGGCCTCTTACATTACGTAAGCAATAAAATATCTTAAATGGACATCAAGGATTTTTTACTGTTTTCTTTCCTATATGCTGACCTTCCCTGTTTCCAGAACCATGTCTTTACGAAAAGGAAGCATCAATGTGAGAATTAAGTTCTTGAGCATTCCAGTGTTTATTTTGCCATAACCCAGAGAGCTACTTCCTTGGTCAGCTTAACCGCTACATAGCAGCTTTTTAAAAGAAATTCTTTAGATAATATCTAAAAGGGGAAAAGAAGATAGCTGTATTAAGCAGTTTTACCTTTCTAAAATTAGATCTGGAACAGTAAGAGATTAAGACAAATGTATAAAATATCATGAGTGGTCTCTTCACACTTATATATTTGGTACTTCCATTAAAGTATTTAAAATAAAGAATTTAAAACTCTGTACCCTCTAAAGCTGTTGTGTGGATCACAACAAGCTGTGGCTAACTCTGAGAAGAATGGGAATCCCAAAACACTTGATCATGCTTATGTGAAACCTATATTTAAACTAGGAGGCAGTAATCAGAACAGAGCAAGGAAACACTGCATGGTTCAAAATTGGAAAGGGTGTATGTGTCCTATCTCCATACCTTTTCAATCTATATGCAGAACAGATTATCCAGAAAGCTAAGCTATATGAGGAGAAATACGGTATCAGGATTGGAAGAAGACTCATAAACGATCTGCATTATGCAGATGACACAACCCTGCTGCTGAAACTGAGGAGGACCTGAAATGTTTGCTGCAGAAGGTCAAGGACTGCAGCCTTCCCTGTGGATTGAAGCCCAACATCAAGAAAACAAAGATTCTCACCACTTAGCCAATTGGCATCATCATGATAGATGATGAAGAGACTGGGATTGTTAACAGTCAGTTTGCTTGGCTCCACAATCAACACTCTTGGTACCAGAAGCCAAGAAATTAAAAGACAAATTGCTTTGGGAAAGTCTGATTTCAGAGATCTCTCCAAATTACTGAAGAGCAACGATGTCAGTCTGGAGACTAAGATGTGTGTGATACAGGCCATGGTCTTTGCAGTTACTTGCTATGCCTAAGAAGGCTAAACAATTACTAGGGATGCTAGAAGAATTGATGCCTCTGAGCTGTGGTGAAGGGCATTGAATATACATACCATGGACTGCTAGGAAAACAAGCAGTTTCTTTCTGGTGAGGGTGAAACCAGTCTGCTTCTTGAAGGCAAGAATTCCAGAGCTTCATCTGACATATTTTGGGCATGTTTCAAGGAGGGACCAGTCCTTGCAGAAGGATATCATGCTTGGGAGGTTGGAAGACCCCTGGTGAGATGGATTGATTCAATGACTCGGGTAACAGAGATAGGTGTGTCAGAGACAATAAGATTGGCATAAGATAGAACAGGGTATAAGGCTGTTGTTGTATAAAACACTTCCTTTCTCTTTTTTAAAATAGAGACAAAAACCATTTTTTCAGTTTTTCAAATATCAGTCCTTAGTTCTATACACTTATAATTGAAACTAGGTCATCTTTCAACAGATGCTAGGGACCCTGTAAGACTTAGAGGGTTCTGGAAAAAAGTTAATAACCCTCTTTCCTTGTTACTTAAAAAGACTCAAGCAAAGCATTTCATACACCTGCAGGGAACAGCTAGCAGCCTGCACTGGTAACTCAGTCAGCCAGAATCCAGAGCTTTCACCTTAACCTGATGTCATTTAACGAAAATGTTTATTTCAATAAAATTGATCGACAGTGAACTTTGTAATTTGAATAGCATTCAGGTATTTCTTCTTTTTTAATTCCCTTAGACAAGATTAAGCTAACTTGATAAATCACTTATCAAGGGATCAGGGCCCAGCCCCCTAGACCTAGTTCAGAATCTGTGGCTAAGCTCCTTCATTCTGTGGTTCTAATTAGCTCTGAGAAGAGTCTCTAAAACACCAGCTTCTATTACCCCAATCTGAATCCAAGATTGGAACCACCTGATAATGTTCTTATTTTCTGTTATTCACAAAGTGTATTGATGGGCAGAAAGAAGAGGTCCATATTCCTTCAACTAAAAAGTATTAATAGGACCTACAAATCAGAGCTAGTGCAGGAATTCATAAAGATATTGATAGTAAACATTGTTAGACTTTGGTTTGATTCCACAGAACTCACTCTTAATATAATGTGCAGCCCTCTGACACAGCAGTCACCAGAAAAGCTTAGCTGATGTCATATTAATGATTTTTGGGGAAAAAGCAGGGGGGGTGCAGGGGGGAAATGAAAGAGAAAATCCAGTACTTGTGGTCCCTGGATCTAAAAGCTGGTTATGTAACAATGAAAAATTACCATTTCCACTGACTCATGGCTGCACCTTCACTGTGCCCTGAGAAGGTCATAAAACTGTGATTTGGTAAAGGCTCTAGCACATTTGCAAATGTTTTAAATTGTGAACTCAAAGAGAAAGGAGGGAGGCAAGAGAAACAGAGACAACTCTAACATATTAAGGACACAGTGTGTTTTCCTTTTTTTGCCCACCATTAGGGAGTGGGTCAGTATCCAAACCCATTGTCACGGAGCCCATTCCAACACATAGTAACCTCCTAGGTCAGAGTAGAACTGCCATTTCTATGGTGTTTCCAAAGCTGGAATCATTGAGGAAGCCAATTGTCACATATTTCTCCCTTTGAGCAACTGGTGGGTTCAAACATCTTTCACTTAACAGCCAACCACTTAACCATGTCACCACCAGGGCTCCTCAGTGTATTCATAGGAAGTAAATCGCATGTTATCATCTGGAGTTGTGGACCTACTGGTTTCTATTTAATTCACTTACTAATCAGTCTGCCTTTCTCTTTCCAGGATAGCTTTCCTGCCCGCTTTGGAGGAGTGCATTTTGTCAACCAGCCCTGGTATATCCACGCCCTGTACACACTCATCAAACCATTCCTTAAAGACAAGACAAGGAAACGGGTAATGAAACAAACATGTTACAGAAATTCAAACAGAGAATGTGCCGTGCTCATTGTGCTGGCCCTTCTCTCTTGCTCTATCTAATTTTTCCCTGTGACTTTTCTGCAGTCACTAAGCATTTCAGCCTCAGCTGGAATGTGCAAATGGCCTGGATTTAGTCAATAATTCAGTAGAACTGGGTTATTCTCAGTCTCAGCAACAACCCAAAGGAAATTTTGGAGGCATGGAAATACCAGATGCTTATTTTACTGGAAATACTTGTGGGAGATATTGGGTCCAGCAGCATCCTGGTCACAGAATATTTTAATAGCTAGTGTTTTGTCCTGCAAGTGTATTATTGCTCTGAAAATACTGATAATTTCTGGTAGCTTTCCCTCCCATGTCTTGGCTCTCACCTGCCAACTCCATCACCTGCCAGTGTGCCAAAGCCGTCATCATTCAGATGAATAATGCTCTTATACATATTTGTTTCTATCAGTTATATCAGCTGGTAGTTTAGAAGTCAACACCTTCCCTTAGAGCAGGCCTTTCTCATGGTATTCTGATTGGCTGCTTAACTGAACGTTTCTCAAACAAACGGATTCTTACTTTCATCATTTATTAAATGGGGAAATTGATACCTATATCTTATTGCTGTTGAACTCATTTAATAAGACAAGGAATTAAGGCATGTAGTAATTAATACAGCATCGCTTGTGTTGTAGAGACTCAAAACCTTTGTTCTCTTTACCATTTAGCTCCCTTCTCTTCAAGCCTTCTTGATTTCTGTTACCCCACTGAATCACAAGCACCACTCCTCAAGGGAACCTGGGTGGGGCTTTTACCAACTTAACACTTAACCCTTTAGAAGAGCATTGTGGGGTGAGACACACACACATTCTTACACACGGAGCAGGGCATACCCAGGTCTCTAGGGAACATTGCAGAAGAGAACCATTTAACAGTTGCCATCAAGTTGATTCCTTCTCATGATCCCAGTTGTGTCAAAAAAGAGCTAGCTATGTGTACACCATACCATTTCCATTGGGTAATTTTTCAGTAGTAGATCACCATGTCTTCTTCCAAGATGATCTTAGGTGAACTCCAATCCTACGACCATTTTGTTATGAGTTGAATGTTTTATCTGTTTGTGTCAGCCTGAGACTGAGCACTAGGGTTGTTGTTGTGTACTGTCGAATTGGAACCAACTCATAGCTGATACTCCAGCGGGTTTTTAGAGGCAGTAAATCACACAGGAGGAGGCTGCCCATCCTTCTTCTGTAGAGAATCTGATGGACTTGAACCATGTGCCTTTGGGTATGGGAGGTAAAGTCTACTGTCCTTAAATGAACATGCATCTAGGGAATGGAATGCAATGTAATTGAGGCTGAGACATTGCCAAGTACAGAGAAATATCTGAGAGTGTTCTAATATCAATTAGGTTTCCCACTGGCTTTATAGTCTTTGAAGAAAAGAGACCAAGGGAATTCCTTCCACAAGATGATGAGTATTTGCTTCTGTTCTGGGAAAGGGTATTTCTGAAGCCCTTGGCACAGAGCAGAGGCTGACAAGTGAAAAGTCCAGCTTCCTACCTCCTGCATTCCCCAACTGTCCAGGAAGACATTCAAGAATGAGATCAAAAAGCTCTTCTTAACCTTTCAGAATTTCTAGTGATAGGTCAATGGGTAAGAAACGCTTGTTCTAAACACAAGTAATGATATTTAGCACCAGCTTTACCCTGCTTCAAATGCTGCAGTGTATTTCCTCTAAAGAGTTTTGGCAAAAACCTCAACTAGTGAATTGCTTCAAAAGATATTTGTTTTATTCCAATTCATTACTGTCCACAAATCTAGTGCTTTAAAAGGTACATTGTTTTTTGAAGTGCTACCAAAAAAAAAAAGTGGTTCTGAAAAATTTACTACCTGGCACTTGTTGTTTGTTGTTATGTGCTTTCGAGTTGACTATGGCTCATAGCAACTCTCTGAACAATAGCTCTGATCCCTGCCCTATCTTGAGCCAAACTCACTGTCTCTGACACACCTGCCTCCCTTGCCATATTTATATGTTGTTGTTGTTGTTGTTGTTGTTATGTGCTGTCGAGTCGCTTTTGACTCATAGCGACCCTATGTACAACAGCCCTAAACCCTACTCTATCCTGTGCCAATCGCACTGCCTCTAATGCACCCATCCCGATTACCCCAGTCACTGAATCAATCCACCTCATAGAGGGTCTTCCCCTTCTGCGCTGTCCCTCCACCCTACCAAGCATGATGTTCCTCTCCAAGGACGTGTCCCTCCTTACAACAAGTCCAAAGTATGTCAGACGAAGCCTCAGAATCTCAGCCTCCAAGGAGCAGCTTGGTTTAACCCTTTCCAGGATGAATCTGTTTGTTTTCCTAGCAGTCCATGGAACCCTCAATACTCTTCTCCAGCACCACGGCTCAAAGGCATCAATTCTCCTACTATCCTCCTTAGTCATTGTTCAACGCTCTGATGCATAACAACTGAAAGCAAAGACCATGGCCTGTATCAGACACACCTTAGTCTCCAGAGAGACACCATTGCTCTTCAGTACTTTGGAGAGATCCCTAACAGCAGACATTCCCATCGCAATATATTTTTTTTATTTCCTGGCTACTGGTGCCAAGAGTGTTGACCATGGAGTCAAGCATAAAGTTGTTGACAACCTAGTGCCATGAAACAAGGTCTCATATTTGTAACTGAAAACTTGAGTCTACGTATTTTAAAATCATACTTATATCTCATAGATGTTGACTGCAGGGGAAGAGATGACAGAGTGTATACATGTATGTAAGATTGATTGCTGCCTTATACTTGGGTGTAACTTTTATGTAGTGAGCTTGGCAAATAAAGAAATGCATCGCAATGTCATTATCCATTTTCAAGAGTCAATTTCTAACTTGTGACTTATCTGCTTTGCAGATTTGTCTGGAAATAGCTGCACTTTAGAGGAGCATCTCCCCATGCCTAATGAATTTTCCTCATCATCCATTTCTATAGTTGGAAGATGCACACATATTTGGATATTAGTCCTGAATCCAGACAAAAGTGGAGGATTGAAGCAAAAATACCCCACAGTAAATTCCCAGCTTTCAAGTTTTTTTTTTAATTTAGTTTGTTTATTTTTCATTTCAATGAACATCTACAGAGATTTTGGAATTCCATTCATTCATTGTTGCACCCTTCTCCCTG